GTGGGGTGGGGGGGGGGGGTGAGAGAAACCAAGATGGGCACTTCCCTCACTTCCCTCAGACCAGTTTAATTTATATTAGTTAGGTGCGATACTACATCTACCAGGTTTATCTTAAACCGGGTTACCCATTTCGAACCCGATTCGTGTGTGCTGAACTTCTGTTCTGTTACGGGTTTAAATGTGCTTCCAATCACTTATACCGGTTTAACTGTAATATCTGTCCCTAGGCTAGAGCCTGAGAATGTGTGCTTTGCTGTTCTAGAAGCCAGCATTGGTACTGAGGGTCGATCTCCTGCTTCTAAAAGTTGGACTGTTCTTCCGATCCCATTGTGGTCGTGGTGACAGAGCTGTAGAACAGAGCTATAGCACTATGTTGATGGTCTGCGACTAAGAAAATTACATTTTCAAAAATCAAAAGATGTATTAAACAGCTAATCCCCTGACCAGGATGTGTGAACAGAAGATAATTCTGTAGCTGAATGTATACATGTTGCTATTAATATGAATTAAGACAGTCATATTTCACGTTTTTATGAATGCTTAGCTGTTTTCCATTAACCAGAAGGCATATTTAGATAAATGCTTAAAGCTTTGTTACTGATTTCCATTTTTTTATTTGTTGTCACATATATTTAAGTACCAGACTTATCAGTTCTCCATCTCTCTTGCTGGGAAATAAATTTGCCTCAAATTATACTTGTTTGAATTAAACCAAAGCACAGATGAAACTTATTACTATGTACATACAATGAAACCAAACCTTTGATCTCAGTTTCATCTTTGTAAGCTGAGCAGCTTTAATAACTTCAGTAAAGTCGCTCCATATTTACACCAGTATAACTTAAATCAGAATCTGGACTGTCATGTTTAGTCTGTGAAGCATTTTGAGACTCTTGATAATGAAAGGTACCATAAAAATTTAAGTTACAGTGATTATTTCTTTTCTATATCCCACTTCACACAGTATGGTTGACCATATGTCCCAGGGCAGTTTACCCCACACTTTTCCTTAATTTTACCTATTTAACTAGATGATTATAGCATGCCTATGTAGTAAACTCTACAGTTCAGGTTGAGGAGCCATTTCCAATTGAAACCCTTCTTTTTTACTAATATATACAGTTCTTAGATACGTCTTGGATAATATGAATGAAATCTGTTCAGCCAGTTTTGAATTAGAAAAACCTGGGAGCAAATGTTTTCCTCACTTTTAAGTCACCCACTCTTCTTGCTAGAAAATTATTCAAAAACAACTTAATGTCTGAACTTCAAATATAGCACAAACTCCTAAATAATAGTACCATATATACTATTAATAAAGTTCAAACAAGGCTGGATAACCATAGCATAAGCCTGGGTACTTAGTAAAGGAGGACCCTGGCATGGAAGCAGAGGCCCTGGATGCTCCAGCTGTGTGGAATAGAGTGAAATCAGGAGTCCCTTTATCTGCCTCACTTTACTCCCAGTGGAAGATGCTGCTTCAAGGTGGGGTGTCAACACCAACAGCCAGGTAACCCTTCTCTGACCCTGTAGTTGCTGTGGAATTAAGGGCTTTGCATTGCTGTTGGACCCATACATTTGTGGGGTTGTATGCTGTGTTGGATTTACCAGGCTGTTGTGTTGGTGGTGACACTTCCCCTGGTAACAGTGTCTAGCCTTTATTCTGTTTCACACTGCCGAAGTCTCCAGGTGCCCTGCCTCCAATTCCTGAACCCCAGGGTTTAAACCCTATCAAGTAAGAGTCTGCTGCCAAGGGTCGAAGGTCTATCAGTTACACCGTTTCAACAAGGTGCGGGGTATAGAATCATAGAATCATAGAAAATTAGGGTTGGAAGGGACCTCAGGAAGTCATATAGTTCAACCGCCTGCTCAAAGCATGACCATCTCCGACTACATCATTTCAGCCAAGGCTTTGTTGAGCCTTCTGCTGGACTCTTTCCAACTTCCCACATCCTTTCTGTAGTGGGGAGGCCCAAAACTGGACACAGTACTCCTGGTGTGGCCTCACCAGTGCTGAATAGAGAGGAAGAATTACTTCCCTTGATCTGCTGGCAGTGCTCCTACTAAAGCAGCCCAGTATCCTGTTAGCTTTCTTGGCAACACGGGCACATATCTAGTGTATTGTCCACTGTAACCCCGAGGTCCATTTCTGCAGAGCTGTTGTGTATCTGCTACTTCCCTCAGCTTGGTGTCATCTGCAAACTTGCTGAGGGTGCACTCTATGCCATCTTCCAGGTCACTGGTGAAGATATTAGATACTGAACAAAACTGGCTCTAGGTTTGACCCCGGGGTGCTCCACTTGATACTGGCTGCCAGCAAGACATTAACCCATTGATCACTACCCAATGAGCCCAATGATTCAGCCAGCTTTCTATCCACCTTACAGTCCATTCATCCAGCCCATACTTCCGTAACTTGTTTGCAAGAATGCTGTGGGAGACCATATCAACAGCCTTGCTAAAGTGCTTGCCCACTGCTTTTCCTGCATCCATAAATCTAGTCATGTCATCATAGGAGGCAATCAGGTTGGTCAGGCATGACTTGGCCTTGGTGGATCCATGCTGACTGTTCCTGATCACTTTCTTCTCCTCCAAGTGATTATAAATGGATTCCATGAGGACCTGGTCCATGATTTTTCCAGGGACTGAGGTGAGACTGACTGGTCTGTAGTTTCCTGTACTCTTTTTCTTCTCTTTCTTAAAGATGGGCACTATATTCACCCTTTTCCAGTAGTCTGGGACCTCCCATGATAGCCATGAGTTTTCAAAGATAATGGTCAGCAGCTCTGCAATCATATCAGCCAAGTCCCTTAGCACCCTCAGATGCATTTCATCCTGCCCCATGGACTTGTACACATCCAACTTTTCTAAATCATCCCTAATATGTCCTTTTACCACTGAGGGCTGCTCAAAACTACATTGCCTGGTGCAGTAGTCTGGGAGCTGATCTTGCCAGTGATGACCAAGGTAAAAAGGCATTGAGTACTTCAGCCTTTTCCTCATCATCCGTCACAAGGTTGCTTCCCCCATTCAGTAAGGGACCCACACTTTTCCTGACCTTCCTCTTGTTGCTGACATATTTGTAGAAAACGTCCTTGTTACTTTTCTTGTTCCTTGCTAGCTGCAAATCCAATTGAGCTTTGGCCTTCCTGGTTTTATCCTGCATGTGCGAGCAATATTCTTATACTCTTCCCGAGATAGTGGGAGTGGAGTGGAGGAGCTGGTTGGTTAATATAATGATAAATGTAGCAGAAAACTTACACGAGGTCAACACATGCCTTTGCTAATACTATTCAACCAAAGAAGTAGGCTGGAATTTTCCTGTGGACTTCAAAGGCTAATATGATCAGATTCCTTGTCAAGGTCTGTCAGTTCCAAAACTGCTTGTCTAAAATGGTCTAACTTCTCCTCCACAATCACAAAAAAGACAAACTAAAAATGTAGTTATATAACTTGAGTGTATCAGAAATGTATGTAAGATAGCTGTATATAGTAAGGGTGTTATTTCAGAGACAAATAAACTGTGTGTAATGGAAAATATAGTAAAATAATAAAACGTGTAAGAGTGCAATGGGTAAAGCTGAGAAGTAAACTGAGCAATAAAATACCAAAAGAAGCTACTGAGCCTAGTATTCTAAAGGGCTAGTTTTCATACTCATTAGCATACAAGGAACCGTTGATTTCCTAGTGCAAATGATTAGGTTGACCAGTTGCATCCTTTGGCATGCGCCACAAGCGTTGTTCGAACCCTGGAGTGTTTGAACCCTGGAGTTGTTTAAACCACTCTGCTAATGTATCCCTGAATGAAGTAGATGAGTATAAAACCTAAGTTTAAGTTGTCAGGAGCAAAACCCCAGCAAACTGACCATTGCTATGTGAAGTTACAATCAAAAACTAACATCTGTAATACATAAGGAATGTGTTTCAGGTCACACTGAAGACCCTGAAGCCAGGGAAGGATCCAAGGGAGGTGCAGCAGTATAGCTGCTCTCCCCTTTCATTCCAGCTCCACCCAAACTTTAAAATGAGCTGTCTTGGAGGGTCAGCAGCATTTCTATTCATATAGTACTGAGAGAGTCAATTGACTTTGTGGCTTATTATCATCTCTCTGATTCCTGCTAATCTCTCTCCTCTCCACAGGTGTTAATGACTCTATCCTTTTTAATGATTTTGATGTTTCACTCTTCAAACTATGCTTTCTTCTGCAATTTTGCTGTTTGTTAGCCATTCCTGGTAATGTCTCTCTTCTATTTTACAGCCCTGCAGACTGTTTTTAGCTCTAACTAAAAACCTTAACTGAGGTGTGGTAACATTAACTCAGGTGAAGAAATGACTGACAGTACAGTATTGGAGACACTGTTAAGATCCTCAAGAAGGCTAAATTTTGTTTTATGACTCTGAACAAGAGATGTACATAAAACTATAATGACTACAAGACTAATAATATAATATCCTTTGATTATTTTTCTCTAATGTCTTTTAAAATCTTTATATATTCTTTAGCCAATTAGTGCACATTCCAATAATTATATTTGTCTTTTGCTTTGATTGTAAACCAACTAATATAGTGCTAACTCCCTACCATATTAGTAAAGTTTCTAGTTTCTCTTTAACTGGAGAAAAGTATGTGTTGTGTTATATGTGATGATGTTCCACACCATCTGCACTCCCTTTTCAAAATCCTAGATCTGTCTATGCCCAGAGTGACAGTCCGTTCACTCATTCTGATTTGTGGTCTGTTAGGGTGTCTTTACACGTGTTCCAGTGGTGGTGGTGGGGCACTTTAATCAAAGCGCCCACAGCGTCTCCTTTATTTAACATCCCATGCTTCAAAATGGTGGTGCTTCAAAATGGTGGAGCTTTAGTTAAAGTGCTCCCACTGCCATTTTGAAGTGCACAATGCTGAATACATAGATGCAGAGGTTGGCTGGAGAGAACTAATTACCATGCTCCAGCAGACCTGATTAATTGAGTCTGCTTTGATGTGCTGTAATTACAGCATGTCAGAGCAGGATCCTTGCATATCTACGGCAACCTATGTTCTGATTCAGGAACACTCCTAAGTGTGTGATTATATTTTCTTGAATTCAAGATGAGGTTTTTTTTCCCCCATTCAACGTGGAGAAAAAAACCCCTCATCTTGGATCTGAATACCAAGTATGTGTGTGGGGGGGAGGGGGGCAGGGGGCTGTTATGACTCCAATTCTGGCCCTGACCCAGACGCAGGGTTGGATTCAGAGCCACAGTAGCCATATGCCCACTGCAGCTGTTCCATCCCTGCCCCGCTACAACTTCCATCTGCCCCCCACCACAACCTCTGCACCCCCGCCCTCCACTGCTTACCATTAGGCATGGCTCCAGCCCCATTCTGGCTGTGGGTACAAGCACAGGATAACTCTGTCCCAGCCTGGCCACTCAGTAGCACTTGTGGTGGCAGCAGCTCCAGTATCCAGCTCCCATGCCTGATGATAAGTGGCAGGGGGATAGGGAGCAGCAGGGGCAGAGGCTTTTAGTGGACAGAAGCTGCAGGAGGGCTGAAGCTGTGGGGATGGGATGCAGGGGAAAGAGGCTGTGGGTGGCAGAGGCTGTGGGATTCAGGCAGTAAGGGGGACAAGCACTACGGGGGGGGGAGGAGCCCTGGGGGGCATAGGCACAGAGGGGCAGGTGGCAGGGGAGGCAAACAGGCTCTGTGGCTCTGACTCTGACCATGAGCCTGGGTCAGGGATGGAATTGGAGCCACAGCAGTCCCCTGCCCCTCCCCTAGGTACTGAAATCCAAGATGAGGGGCTTTTTTCCCCATGTTGAATGAGGAAGAAACCTCATCTTGGCTTCAAGTAAATACGGTAATCACACACTTAGAAGTTTTTTCAGAATCAGAACTAAGTGACCTAAAATCAGAATGAATGGACTTAGTGTCACTCTAGGTATGGGGACCTAGGATTTTGGAAAGCATGATGGAGATGGTGTGGCACATCATCAAATATAACACAACACTTTTTTCCAGTTAAAGAGAAGCTAGGAACTTTACCACACCTGCATTAAGGCAAACCCCTCTGCCACCTGCCCCACTCTGCTACTGCTGCTGCTTTCCCTGCTGTAGCAGTGTGTGGTGGGAGGAGGGGGAGGATTTAAAATTACCCTCTCATAATTAGATTTTATACATGGAAAATTACAATACATTTATAATTTTTCCATGTCTGCATTCTAATACTGTATTGGGGGGTTGTCTTAAATTTGAAGTTGTCTCATACTCTGGTAAATATGGTAGTTTAAAGTACATGCTTACTTTCTTTGGCAGTGAATGGGGCTGCTTTCCTGAACTAAGGCACATAAGTCTATGGAATTAGTCTCAGACTTAAGGTTTTGAGTTTTAATTATAAAAAAATAACTTATTACTCAGAAACAGTTTTCATAGTTCAGAGACAGAAGTCAGTCTGCTGTCCCCTAAGTTGCTTTGTAAATATGAAAGGAGTATTTAATACCATTCTACAGCTTATAGCTTTTCCTGTGTTAAGTGAAAGAGTGGTCTCTGAATAAAAAATGGTAACTGGGTGGAAAAGGCCAGTTAAAGATCAGATAAATACTTTGGATACAAGTTATTTAAAATTATAACTGATAAAAAATTATAATTAAAATTAGTCACAATTTCTATAAAAGAAGCACCAAATTTCAGAAAAAAATAAACTGTAAAAACCAGAAAATGTGCATATAGATCTGTCATTTAAGGCTTCACAACAGCACTTGCCCTGTAGTGGTATTATAGTTTAAAGCCTAATGGAAAAAAGCAAACTTCAGTAGTACACATCGAAGAAAGGCGCACACAGAATTTTTCACTAGTGATAAGCATATATAATTTTGTATCTTGGGCTGTGTGGTAGGTCTAGTAAATCAACGTGCCCAACTGAGTCTCTTTAAAAATAACAACATCCATTTATGATTGTGCCATAAAAATTGATATTTGAAATGCATTTATGACTTGTATATGCTTCACACATGGTCTTGTTTTATTTAGAGCAGTTGTGATAAGAAGCTTTCACACTGGCTGTTAATGGTGTAAGACAACTTCTCCACAGGTATCTGCCACTAGAATACATTGCAACCTTTCTTTGCTGCCACCTCTAGTCAGTTCAGACAGCATTTGTTTGTCCTTTTACATTGCTCACAATGCACACAACCATTTCTGCATTAGTAAGTGTCCAAATGAGTCTTTACTGAAAACCTTTTCCTGGCCTATAAGTTTCCTCCAGGTTTTACCCTGAAAAAGGGCTGTATTATGCAAACAGGAAATATATAGAAACTTGTTAATTGCTGCTTTATTTTTCCTTGTGCGGTAATGTACACCACTTTTCTTATTGTCACCACCGGTATCAAGTTACATTATAACGCCCTGGTACCTGAGACGTCTTTAAATTGTACACTGTTTCAGAGTGGGAAAAAATTACAGCTCAGTTCTGTTGGTAGAATATCCCTGTTTTAACTTGCATGCAGATACTGGCAAAAAGGGGTAGCATTACTTTGCAAAATGATAAAGGTAGCTTGAGGGACTGCTTTTCTGTCAGGAGACACTTAATATTGAGGTCTCCAAGTCTCTGTTTTGTCACTCCCTCTGTTCAGCATATTAATGAAATGATTTGGGCGTACTGACATCCATATGTGCATGTCAACACTATGTCTTACTTTCAGTGGAGATGGATACTCTCCCAAGGGCTAGCTGAAATAGCAGCACAGTGGGGTGAGACTGAGTTGGTTGAAATTTAGTGCTGAAAAGATGGAGATGATGCTTCAGGGGTAGGAAAAGGTATGGATACTTCATGTCATTAATTTTTGAGAGTTGCCTTTTCATTGTCCAAGAAGGTAAGTATTTGACAGGGAACTTGGAATCTTAATGCCATACTATTTTGTTCTGTAACGGAGTATCCATAGTCTTTTTTGCATGAGGATCTTGTCACAGTTATCCATAACTTTGTGACTTTTAGACTGGATTACTGCACGACACTATTTGGGCCTATAGTTTGTACTGCAAGGTAAAATGGTACAGAATGTAAAAGCTTATTTGCTAGATAATAGGAATTAATTACATGGGTTTTCAACTGCTACCTTGGCTTCCTGTGCACTTCCCAAAGCCATTCAAAGTCCTGGATTTAGTCTAATAAAAGCATAGATGACATAGGTCCAGGGTATCTGAGAGACTCTCTCTCACCATGACCTGCTACAGCTTTGAGGTCAGCTGCCAAGGTTGAGCTAATAGTTACTGGATTTAAATTCCAGTGGGAATTTTCTGTAGATGACCATAGAATTTTTTGGCTCAAAGAATTCTGTATTTGTTGACTTTCAGAACTCAGTGCCAAGCTCATTTCTTTTCTCAAACATTTCCTGAATGGGATGAGGAATGTATGTTTCTGAGGGAGGTTGGGTCCCTTTTCTTTCTTTGCTGAGAAGAGGAAGAAGTTTTTGGGTGATTTGCATGCATCATCAGCCACATGACAAGAACATTTTATTAATTTAGCAAATAATGCACAAATAATTGTCATAGTTTTATATATCATACTAAGAAACTTTGGTCATAACTGAAACCACATCTGTCGAGGGGGTGAGGATGTGCAAAGTGTGTCCAACAGGAGCAGCTATTTATTTTTGCTCTTTTGCACCTCTCTGAAAGTGGTTCTGTCTTCACTTATTTTCTTTGGGAAACTCCTACCTTCCTCTCTTTCTCTCCATCTTCAAGTTTCTTTCTAGTATTAATACATACAGCTAGCAGTCAAGAGCTGTGACCACTGTGACTGTCCTATGTACATAACCCTGGGCCCATCTGTGAGTATTTATTTCCCACTTTGCTATTAACAGTCTCTTTGGGCATACAGCAAAACATGACCTGATCCTTACTGGTGCCTTTAGGTACTAACAGCCAGATCCAATAAAGGATTTACATGCCTAAAAGTTAGGTATCTCAACACCTACATTTTAGGTGTCTGGGCCCCAGACTCGAATTCAAAACCCAGAGTTAAGTGCCTATACAATTCACGGAAAGAGCTAGCTATCTTAGAAAGGTGATCCAACAAAATGCACACATGGAGTGGGCAAACACCTAGAGCTAGCCAATGGGAAAGGACTCCAGGCCATGTTCTTCAAGGGAAACTTCTCCAGTTCAGCTGTGCAACAGGTATGAGAAACTTGCACCCTTGGTGGAGGAAGGACTGGAGGCACTTGCTCCAGAGGAGGAAAGGAGGCAAGCTCCTGATCAGAAGAGGAGATGTAGGATGGTGGTAGTGAGCAACTCTCTTCTGAGGGAGATGGAGGGTGCCATCTGCTGACCAGATCCCTTTGCATGGGAGGGCTGATGGCTTCCAGAGGTCTGTATCTGGGATGTGATGGAGAGGATTACAAAGTTCACCCAGTCCTCTGACTACTACCTCTTGCTGCTCATCCATGTGGGCATGAATGACATGGCCAAGAACAACCCTGAGTAGGTCATGAATGACTACAAGGCTCTGAGTTGGGGGTGCAGGTGGTTTTCTCTTCCATCCTCCCAGTCAGAGGTCAGGGTCATAGTGAGGATTTCAGATTTTATGATCAAGGAATGCTGTTCCAGGATACAAGGTTGTTGGGAAGAGATGACATTTACCTCACGCCAAGGAGGAAGAATTTGTTTTCTTTCAGGATGGCTGACTTACGGAAGAGGGCTTTAAAAAAAGGTGTGTTGGGGCATGGGTGTACAGATGGGAATGCAAGCTGGGGTACAGCCAAGCAGGAAGGATGCAGAGGGCAGTCAGAAAGGTGTTGAAATGTTGGAATGACGGGGCTGTGGGGAACTGGGGGTTACCAATGGGGGACTTAAGTGTGTATATACAAACTCTAGGAATATGGGGAATAAGCAGGAGGAACTGGCACTCCTGCTATCAAATAGGAAATATAATCTTGTTGGAATAACGGAGACCAAATGGGATTCCAGACATGACTGGGCTGTATTTATGGAGGGCTACAGGGAAGAAGGGAGGAGGTGTAGCTCTCTATGAAAAGGACCGGTATGCCTCCTCAGAAACCCAAACTGGTTTGACAGAAGTGTGACCCAAGACCCTGTGGGTCAAGATATGAGAGGAGAGGGGGGAATGAGAAGTCCTTTTTCAGGTATATAGGGAGCAGGAGGAAGGCCAAGGGAAATGTGGGGCCCTTGCAAAATGGGATGGGACAGCTGATAACAGGCAGTCAGGAGAAAGCTGAACTCTTTAATGAATACTTTTTGTCAGTGTTCCTGCATACAAATGGTGGTTGCCTGCCTAGCTGGATACTGGATGGATGTGGGGGAGAAGAAGGGGTGCCAACAAATGGTCAGTGTTGAACTGGTGAGGGAGCACTTGATGCAGCTGAACGTCTTCAAGTCAGGAGGACTGGATGGACTACACCTGAGAGTGCTGAGGAAATGGGCTGAAATCATTGTGGGACCACCGATGGAAGTATTTGAAGACTCATGATGCTTTGGAGAGGTCATGGAAGACTGGAAAAGGACCAATGTGGTGCCAAGGGGAGGAAGGAGGAAATGGGAAACTATAGGCTGGTCAGTTTGACCTCAATGCCAGGTAAAATTTTGGAAAACATTATCAAGAAGTCCATTTGTGAGAGATTGGCAGAAGGCATGATGCTGAAGGATAGCCAGCGTGGTTTCATTGTTTGTATGTCATGGCTGACCAGTCTCATCTCCTTCTATGATCAAGTAACGAACCACTTAGATGCGGGAGACATGGTTGATGTCATATATTTGGATATTAAAAAGGCCTTTGATATGGTTTCCCATGATGCTCTTATAAAAAAAACTGGGTGATTGTGGGATGGCAGAGTCCATGGTCAGGTGGGGTGTGACCTGGCTAAGGGGTCAAGCCCAGAGAGTGTTAGTGGATGGGTCTATAGCATCTTGGTGGGAGGTGGTGAGTGGTGTCCCACAGGGTTCAGTTTTTGGCCTCATGCTGTTCAACATCCTTATTAATAGCTAACATGATTTAGAAGAGGATGTGGAAAGTGCACTGGCCAAGTTTGTGGATGATACTAAGTTATGGGGAAAAGTGGTCACACTAGGGGATAGGATGCAGATCCAAGAGGACCTGAAGAAGCTGGAAAGATAGGCAGAATGGAACTGGATGCAGTTCAGTAGGATAAATACAGAGTGCTTCATCTGGGGAGAAGTAACCAGTGACATGAATATAGATGAAAGGGACCTCGAGGCTATGGTTGATCACAGGATGAACACGAGCCAGCAGTGCAACACTGTAACCAACAGAGCTAATAGCATATTGGGATGTATTAGCCGATGTGTCATGAGTAGGGCTAAGAAAGTGGTACTTCCTCTCTACTCAGTGCTGGTGAGACCCCAGCTGGAGTACTGTCCAGTTCTGGGTGCCACACTTCAAAAAAGACAGGGAGAGTCTTGAAAGGGTCCAGAGAAGGGCCACAAGAATGATTAAGGGCCTAGAGGACAAACCTTATGAGGAAAGACTAAGAGATCTGGGACTGTTCAGCCTGAGGAAGAGAAGACTGAGGGGGGACATGGTGGCTGTCTGTTAGGGCTGTGCGAAGCTTAAGTCCATGATTCGATTTGGCCTGATTCGGTGACCAAATCTCTCAATCCAAATCAAATCAGGAGACACTTTAATCTCTCCAAATCGAATTGGAACCCTCCAAATTGATTCAGAGAGATTCAGAAAGATTTGGCGATTCGGACATAGACACAACTTTAAATGTTTTTTCTACATATCTCAAGGTACCAGGCAGCTCATGAATGCTGTAACGGTGGGGCGGATGGAGCGTCCCACAGGAGCATGAGGGGCTCCCCAGTGTGCTTGGCACTTCCAGTCCACTTCCAGGTCCCTGGGGAGCACACTGGGGGCCCCACCCAGGGACCCCGGCTCAGCAACTGGTGCCTTCTGAATCTGGGGGAGCACCCGGGGTCCCTCTGCGGCTGATCGCTGAGCCAGGGGGGCGTGGTCGTCCCCCTGTGTGCTCAGCAGTGGACCTGGAAGTGAACTGGAAGTACTTCTGGTTTACTTCCAGGTTTTCTGCCGAGCATGTGCCTCCCCCCACACCTGCAGTCCTGTGGGACGCACCATCCACCCCAGCATCACAGCATTCACAAGCCATGCCTGATACCTCGAGGTACATATAAAAACATTTAAAGCAGTGTCTATGGCCGAATCGCTAATTCTCTGAATTAGCATTGATCTTAAGATTCAGATTTGCTGAATCGAATTGGGGACAGTGATCTGAATCAACAAATGGAATTTTGTTTGCGTTTTAACACGGACAAGTGCAGGGTGCTGCATTTGGG